CGAGGTCAGAACAAAATTGCGGATGGGACGAAAACTGATCTCAGCTTAAAATACACCCATAGCTGAAGGTCCTAACCCACAATATATATTAAGTACGCGGGGGAACGCATACAGAAAAAATGCAATTTAACGCACAAGGTGGGTCAAGTTGTAAGTATGGTGCAAAAGACGAGAGATCTAACTATAAGGAGTGCAAACGATAAATTGAAGTAGTGGAAAAATTGCGCTCAACTTGAAGAACCGATGTTTACCAGTGCTGACGTGAGGGAGTCTTGTTTATTTGATAAAGGTGACGACCCAGCAGACATGAAAGGACTGGGCATTATATGCTTACACAATACAATTGGCCTTTATCCGGGCTGATGGATAAAAGACAACAAGTGTTTATTGGTAGATATGAATTATTAAACTGACCCAATTGTGAAAAGGTCGGCGGCAAGGGTGGGATTTGGATCCACGATAGCAGGGTCTAAACCTCAATACAATCATGGGTTGAATTAGGTTTGACGAGCAAATTAGCCCAAATATGAAAAAAAAGTTAATCCTCTTTGCAGGGACCTTGCAGCCAAGATGGCCAGAGTAGTGACTGCAATCAAGCCTGTCTTGGGTTCCAATCCCGCCGAATTTTCCCAACTGGGGGAGGATGTACGCACCCCACAGATGTGCATACTCACCATGATTATCAGTAACCACTATCCTGGCCGGGTGCCAACTAAAATTTGCAGCTGGTCAGGCCCAGGCAAGTCTAAAAAGAGGCCTCCTACTATACGAAAAAAGTACTGAACTCCTTGGATTACTACCGAATAAAATTAGTAATGGTCTTCATCACTGACCAGGCAGCAGGTCGCAGGATTCCGAAAAATGTCCTCTGACAAGACGTTTAAAAGTGCGATTGCGATTTCTGCTTTAAAATCCGTCGCGTCCAAAATTTTCTTAGTCAAACAATTTGATTGGCCCACGACGTTCTCTTAGAAGCTTAAAAACCGATCGGCCGGGTCGAAGCTAGCAGCCTATGGAACGTAGGGTTAGTTATACAGGCAAACAAAAGCTCATCAGGCTTGTGGAATACCTGACATCCCAAAAGTTAACTGCTGATCAATGACTTCTTACCTTAATTTAAGCACAACTTCTGAGAACAATGTGGTATTCAGGAGAAAAAACCATAGTATTCTGACTTTGGACACAAAAGTGAAGATGAAGGACCCCTTAACGTTATCTCCGGAGATAAGCGAAGAGATGAAATTGCTCAAGGTTCCCACTTTCTAAGAAGTTGCAGACTATAACCCCAAGTGGCAGTGATCTAGTCTTATTTCTCAGTAATTTTTAAGGCTAAACTGGTATGATGTTCAACTAAATATGCTTGGAATTTGATCGGTCAACTTGAATGGAATGAACTACAAATTACATCCTAACTTTTTTACTGGTGGAGGAGATTTTCCTTCAAAGGGATAGTAGATAAACATCTAGCCTATCTTACTACAGCAAGAAAATTACTGCATATGTCATGAACTGTCAGGCTGCATATAACGCTGAGTAATCATCTGACGGTTTACTGCAGTCTGAGCACTCATTGTGTTAACTAATCATTCCACACAAATATAGTTCATTTGACGCAGTCATTAAAAAACCATGACAGTCTCTGTGGGAGTCGAACCCACTACATTGGGGGAAGATTTTAGTACAACTAACACTAATCACATGACCCAAGTGTGATTAAACTCGAGGCTCGTGACGGGACCTCGTAGCTCAGATAACTGGTGCGTCGGCTGTACCAAAGCATTTTTGTTGCCGTAACGGATTCAAATCTCACCGAGAACTCCAGATTTTCCACAGCTGGGTCAAATGAATTATTCAAATCTGCCAAAACCTCCATTGACAACTTCAAGTACTGTGGTATTGTCATGCAGCTTTCGCATAAAATTACCTTGGCAACGTAAGAAAACGACACCGTCAACTAATCGTGCGTACGATCTGACCTTAACCAATGGACTAGAAAAATCTAGCTGATAGACTCTACAAGGACTGAATCTGGGGGGAGCAGCTGAGATGCATGTGTGAGGGAGGCAACAAAGATGGTGAAGTTGCACGACAGTAAAATGCACTTGACATCGCGTTACAAAATTAAGCTTATAATGCAAAATAAACTAAGGCGGTAAAACAACATGGAAATTGCGACATGTAGTCAATCTACAAGAATTACCGAATGGGACTGAGCAAAGTAACCTACAAAAATAACCATATCGCCAAACACGATAAAACGCTATATTTTACTGGCTATAATTGCTGTTAGTATGAGTATTTCTTGGCAAATGCAACAACAGGCATTTGTTTCTTTTCCGTACCAAACTATAGTACTAGCATTTATACGTGCACTAGGCTAGCGTCCCTTAAATCCCAACAGTATGTGAAAAACGAAAAAAAATCTGTATATATAAAAGGATGCATCTCA